TTTTTGGTCTCCTGTATAATTTTAATATTATATTCTCAAAGTTGACTCAAATGGAATGACCAGTGTTCAAACAAGTACATACTGATGATCTAATTCCTTCAGGGCATCTACAATTTAAATCATAGCCTAACATATGTATTGCCAAGATATTCAGTTACTAGTTTGGATTCTTCTCTGCTAGACCTATTATTTTGCTTTAGTCAGATACTCTGTGAATTTGAATTAGGCCTCCTTTGGTTTTTTCACCTGTCAAACTCTATCCTATTATAACAACTTCAAAAGCTTAACTGTCTTCTCTGACCTAATTTTTTCTCAAGTGGCCAGATAAAAGGGAGTGAAAAATAAATTATGAAACCATCATTTGCTACACAAGTGAATAAATATGAAAAGAGGTTAATGAGAGGACAAAGATCAAACAAGCTCAACCAAAGTAACACGCACACTGTTCTTAATGACTACAAATGTTCACAAAACTTTACCTTTATCCTATAAAATACAACATCCTAAAATAATAAATTATATTGAAATATGAATGCACGCCAACTTGAGGCCAGAGTTCATTGCCCTTGTGTTTTACCTTCATGCTCTTAAGCTCAGGTAACAAGCTTATTCCTCACAATACTCTCTCCATAAAATCATAGCAGTTATTCTTTACCTGGTCTTTTATTACAGACTTATTCAATAGTAATAAGGAGCAAATTATTACCTTCTTATAGATTGTGTGAGTTCACAGTCAGACAAAATTAAAATAGAAACATCTAAACACCTCATGACAAAAGAGACCAGATTGTCTTCACTGACCAAATTTCCTGACTGCCATTATACATATTTCATAAGACTCCTGTTTGTACGTAAGACCTTATTATAAACTTGCTATACACGAATGATTTTAACAATAATAATAATGAATATAACTGCATTTTGTTAAATGCAAATATACTTGAAAACTAGGTGAGAGAAATTTTACAAAGTACTTTCCCTGCAATATGAATATTCCTATAACAGGTTATAGCTCAGTCCTATTCTAAATAAAAACACCAGTAATACTGTAATCCCAGCACTTTGGGAGGCCGAGACGGGTGGATCACGAGGTCAAGAGATCGAGACCATCCTGGCTAACACGGTGAACCCCTGTCTCTACTAAAAAATACAAAAAACTAGCCAGGCGAGGTGGCGGGCACCTGTAGTCCCAGCTACTCGGGAGGCTGAGGCAGGAGAATGGCCTAAACCTGGGAGGTGGAGCTTGCAGTGAGCTGAAATCCGGCCACTGCACTCCAGCCTGGGTGACAGAGCGAGACTCCGTCTCAAACAAACAAACACACACACACACAAACAAACAAACAAACAAAAAATACTGATATTAGATTGACACTCTCACTAACAGCATATAAGTGTTTCTTTTTCTCCACAACCTCTCCAGCATCTGTTATTTTTTAAGTTTTTGATAGTAGCCATTCTGACTGGTGTGGGCTAGTATCTTACTGTGGTTTTAATTTGCATTTCTCTAATGATCAGTGATGTTGAACTTTTTTTTCACGCAATTGTTGACTAAGTATACGTCTTCTTTTGAAAAGTGACTCTTCATGTCATTTGCCCCCATTATTTTTTTTGTTTGTTTTTTTGTGTGTAATTTTCTTTAAGTTCTTTATAGATGCTGGATATTAGACCTTTGCCGGATGCATGGTTTGCAAAAAAAATTCTCCTATTCTGTAGGTTATCTGTTTACTCTGTTGATAGTTTCTTTTGCTGTGTAGAAGCCTTTAGTTTAACCATTGTGGAAGACAGTGTGGTGATTCCTGAAATACCTAAAGACAGAAGTACCATTTGACCCAGCAATCTATAAAGAACTAGGTATGTATCCAAATGAATTTAAATCATTGTCTTATAAAGACACATGGACACATATGCTCATTGCAACACTATTCACAATAGCAAAGACATGGAATCAACCTAAATGCCAATCAATAATAGACTGGATAAAGAAATACACACACACACACACACACACACACACACACACACACACACACACCATGGAATACTAGGCAGCCATGAAAAAGAATGAGATCATGTCCTTTGCACAGACGTGGATGGAGTTGAAGGCCATTATCCTTAGGAAACTGACACAGGAGTGGAAAATCAAATGCCTTATGTCCTCACTTAGAATAGGTTAGAAGAAGGAGAACACATGGACATATAGAGGGGCACAACACACACTGGGGCTTATCGGAAGGTATAGGGTGGGAGGAGAGGGAGAATCAGGAAAAATAACTAATGGGTACCAGGCTTAATACATGGCTGACAAAATAATCTGTACAGCAATCCTCTATGACACAAGCTTACCTATGTAATAAACCTGTACACATATTCCTGAACTTAAAAAATGAAAGTTAAAAAGATTACCAAGAATACAAGTTCACCATTCCCAAACTTTCAGCTGAGCTCTTGCTGTCTCTCAGAAGGACTTTTGAGAACTATATAGAATCATGAAACATCATAACTTGAAATACCTTGATTGATGTATTTTAAGTTTTAATTGAAACCTTCTATTTCTTATACAGTTGCATTATTACAAATAAGTCTGACACATTTTCTTAACCAGAAAGTACTTATTTCTATGATTGTTTGTGTTTAATTTGATTATTTCATCGTAAGACGTCTGCAATTTCTAGGTTGTGTATTTTTACATTTACATCCCGTATTTACCATTTTTACATTTTTCTCTTCTGATATATATAAATCTTTAGGTTCGTTTATTGCACAAAGCAGGAAGCTCCTTTTCTATCTTCACAGGAGTTCTGTAAAGTATGATAGTTTCTAGACCAGTGAAGACACAATCTTCTAGATATGTAATCACTTGATAAGCTTATTAAAATTGAATTTCATAGAAACATTATATTTTAGGTTAGGATTGGAGCAATAAATCTCTGTTTTGTTCCCAAGGTGTTTATGATATTATATCATTCTTTGAGTGAATTTAAAGTCTTTGTAGTTTTGTTTTTTGCTAATAAGAATCAATATTTTGGAATTATAATTTTCGCTATGAAATGCTTCTGAGGCTGTGAATACAGGTACTCTATTTCTCTGAATTGTGTATGCTGCTTCTCACTTTCATTTATACTTGCTTTGTTTCATTCAGCTGAATGAATAAAAAGGTTGGGTAAATATCCCCAACCTGAGAACATGTAACCTGTAATTGCTTCCTTTTCTGTTGGCTTGGATTCTGTATTTCTAAACTAGAGAAAAACAGGATGTTAGAAGACTCTTTATCCCTTTTCCCAGGCAATAATGATGTTCTGTGTGAGCTCTGTAGCACATTTTTCAGTTTATTTATACTTAAGTAAATGAAGATATAACCCAGATTTTGTTCAGTGTTTTGTTACTCTTACTTCTAAGTAGAATGTGTTTGTGTGTGTGGTTTCCACAGAAGTAAATGAAAAATAGCATTCTTTTTACCTGTTTAATAATCATGATTGTCTTCATCAGCAAATATATTATGTGAACTATTTATAGACATAAGTATAAAGACTTTGGTTGTAATTGCTTTCAGAACTTGACTTTAAATGTAATTTTAATTTTATATTTATAATCTCTCAATACTGTTTATATTGTAGTTAACACTCCAACTATTTTGGAATATTTAATTAATAATAACTTCTCAGTATTTAGTATTTTCTTATTAAGACATGATTTAAAGTCTTGATTCAAAATTATTTGTGTCAGATAAAATAAATACTATTAATAACAATAGACCTCCGTCTGTCTCAAACTATAAACAAATATCAAATTCAGCATTTTCTAAAACTAGTGGTTAGCTTCTTGTTAATTTTGATTTATTTCTTATTTATAAATATTCAAACAATTATAAAACCTAAAATGACTATAAAGAATAATGTTATTATATTCTTAATGTGATCTGATTTTCCAAAGGAGAATCAGGAAAATGTGTTTTTGAGATAAATAACAAAAAAAAAATATGTTGGGGAAAAGCTGAGTGTTGGGAAAAAAGCCCTGCTCCCTGGAACTGATATTTTGAACAAGGCAACCAATGAGTTGTCGGCAATCAATCCTCTGAAATGGATTAAGGCCATTGGAAGCTCTACACTTGCAAATTTTGTTCTAACAATTAAGTGCTTGTACTATCTCCTTTTAGTCTGCAGATGTGGAAGCTGCCTCTGGAGAGAAAGCCACCATCAAGAACAAGCAATGATAGCTGTGGCAGTTTTACAAAAAAGAAAAGGGGGCATGTTGCGGAAAAGCTGAGTGTTGGGAAAAAAGTTGAGGCAGGGCTTGCATGTCTGACATAATGTAAAAGTCTTGGAACATGTCCAGGGTCCGGGGTCTAAAACCCCTTGTGGCCTTTGAAGAATGTGTCTAGACTTGCTGGCTCCTTGCTTCTAGCACTCCCAGTCTCATAGATCAATTGTATCTTAAACTAGAAGAACATGTTTCCCATTATCTCAAGTAGCAGAACATGTTCCATATGCTGCAAAGAAAATGCTAAACCATCACAGCTGTAGATCATGCACTTGATACACCAGTTTCTTTCAACCCCCATATCCTCACCACCTGCTTTTTTGTTTGATCACCAATAAATAGTGCAGGCTTCCAGAGCTCAAGGCCTTTGCAGCCTCCGTACTAGCGTTGGCCCCCTGGTCCCACTTTATGCACTCTTAAACTTGTCTTTTCTCATTCCTTTGACTCCGCCGTACTCTGTAACCCCCACAGCCTGGTGTTGGGTCTGATCACCCCAACAAAATAAGATTGCTACAGTTTTTGTATGTAATTTATAAAATATATGTGTTATTTGACAAAATAAATATGATTCAAACTTGGTATCTAGATTATTTGTTGGATATATCAAAATTAATAAAGTGGACATTTTAGAAATTATTTAGAATAAAAATAGCTGTAAATGAGTTTCTTTCTGAATACAAATTGCATCAATTAGTAACTTTGGATATGTGGTTTGGTAAGAAACAAACACATACAAAATCTCAGAAGCTTAAAAGAACAAAGGTGTATTTCTTGTCTATACCACATGTTCATCTTGGGCAGGCTGGGAGCTCTGCTTCCCATCTTCTGCAAGTTGGGACCAGGGTGATATAGCAGATAATTTCTGCAACATTGCTGGTTATTCTGGTGGAGAGAAAGAAGATGGCACATCATGTTTGGTTCTTACATGTTTTATCTTGATCCACAACCCTTTCGCTTTCTGATGACCTATGCAAATTACTTGACCAACACCAATCACCTGAGGCTAGAATAGCCCAACCCTACCAGGTTCTCATAAAGAAATCAGAGAGATTTAATGCAGAGTCTGACATCCACACTGGTTCAATATTATTGTGATAAAATGTAGAATGGCTTTAGAACATATGGAAAACATTACCCGTAGCTGTATAATCCAGAAACTTTTTTTTTATTAGCTTTAATGTTTTAGCTTTATGTTTATTGAGTTATCTGACACATTTTTCAGATGTTATATAATATTTAAATTGTTTCATTTTAGGTCATGTTTTATTCAGGTATTGATAAATTCACTTTGAGTTGTATTTTGCATGATGCTAGAAAAATGTAATGATTTCACTTTTCTGAGAAGTTCAGTGAAATTTCTGTGACTGTTCTAGTCTACCCATGTGGTAGGAAGTTTATCTAACTTCTGTCTAATGATGTGTCAGTTTCCACTGTACTTATGACACTGCTTTAGCCATCCAATGAAAGTACTTTAAGTAGTCTAATATGGATTTTAACTTAGTCACCACGGTGATCCTGTTAGCACTTCAAACTTTACAGATTACTCCTTGAAAAAATGTGCTAGACTAAGGAGTTCAAAAGCTAATTGCTTTATTTTATGTGCCATTGACTTAACTTTCATTCATTTTTTCTTTTGATCTCATCTCCTGGAGGGTAAGTCTTACAAAATAAGCTTCATTCTTTCTTTGCTGTTATCAGTGAAGGCATATTAAAGGCAAAAGGCAATTAATTTGATGATTTGACTGAAATGTGCTTGGTTGTGTAAGACTTTTCAGCCCAGTACCATTTATTGTAAGTCTGTAGGAAGGACATCACATTCAACTCCACACACAACATGATAAATCAAGTGTTTTTCAAATAAAGAATCATCACTTCTGAAGTATCTATGGGATTCTGCAAGTGACCTATTCTCTTGCATTTGTGAATTCATTAAAAGATAGTGTTATATTTGATTTTTAAATCCTAACCTAATAAAATTCAATATAATGCATTTTGAATCACACAAATGACCATTATATTAGAAAGGTAAATGAATAAATTCAGTGCCCACAGGCAAGTTTGCTTTTGACTTTATGATTACTTCTGAGCAAAGTAAAGATCAAGTGAGGTCAAGAGCAGCTGTACAAAGAACATTTACTTAGTGGTTTAAATGGGAACAAATATTCTGAAAATTAAGTCATCTTATGTCATTACATGGCAGTATACTTAGGACAAAGTCAAAAGTACTTAAATAGTGTATAGAGTGACAAGGGAAAAGTAAGCTTAGATTATGCTTTTGTACAATTGAGCATGAACGGCTTCTTTGTTATAAAAGTCAGTTATTCATCATCATAAGAAAAATTTTAAGAAATTATTTTAAATACTCAGTACCATTTCTATGTGGATTAGTCCATTCTCATGCTGCTATACCCTTAGACTGGGTAATTTAAAAATAGAAAATGGTGTAATAACAAACAGCATACACAAGAGAAACCTGAAAAAAAAAAAAAAAAAAAAAATATGCTGTACCATATCAGCTAGCAAAACTAACCAACTATGACAATGGAGATATCAAAGAATTTAAAAAAAAAAAAAAAAAAAAAATAGAAAATGGTGTAATTGACTCAGCATTCCACAAGGCTAGGAAGACCTTAGGAAACTTACAATCCTGGTGGAAAGGGAAGCAAACATGTCCTTCTTCACATGGTGACAAAGAGGAAAAGTAAGTGCCCAGCGAAAGTGGAAGCCCTTATAAAGCCATCAGACCTTGTGAGAACTAACTCAGTACTATCATGGAGAACAGCATGAGGAAAACCACCTCCATGATTCAGTTAACTCCACTTGGTTCCACTCATGACGTGTGGGGAATACAGGAACTAAAATTCATGATGAGATTTGGGTAGGTACACAGCCAAACTATATAATTCCAACCCTGGCCACTCCCAAATCTCATGTCCTCACAGTTTAAAACACAATCTTGGCCTTCCAAGAGTCCCGCAAGATCTTAAATCATTTCAGCCTCACCTCAAAGTTCCAAGTCCAAAGCCTCAACTGAAACAAGGCAAGTCCCTTTGGCTATGAACCTGTAAAATCAAAATCAAGTTAGTTACTTCCTAGATACAATGGAGGTACAGGCTTGTAAAAACATGCATTTCAAATAGGAGAAACTGGCCAAAATGCAGGGGCTATATAGGCCTCTTGCAAGTCCAAAATCCAGTGGGGCAGTCAAATCTTAAAGCTCTGAAACAATCTCCTTTGAGTCCATGTCTCACATCCAGGTGATGATGATTCAGTAGGGGTGTTCCCACAGTCTTGGGCAGCTCCACTCCTGTGATTTTGCAGGGTACAGTCCCCCTCCTGGTTACTTTCATGGGCTGGCATTGAGTGTCTGTAACTTTTCCAGGTGCATGGTGCAAGTTATCGGTTATCTATCATTCTGTGGGCTGGAGGATGGTGGTTGTCTTCTCATAGCCCCAGTAGGGAGTGCCCCAGTGGAGACTCCTTGTGGAAATTCCAATCTCACATTTCCCTTCTGCACTGCCCCAGCAGAGGTTCTCTATGAGGGTTCTGTCCCTGCACCAAACTTCTGCCTGGACAGACAGGTATTTCCATCCATCCTCAGAAATCTAGGCAGAGATTCTCAAACCTCAATTCTTGATTTCTGTGCACCCGTAGGCCTAACATCACATGTAAGCTGCCAAGGCTTGGGGCTTGCACCCTGTGAAGCCACGGTCTGAGCTGTACATTGGCCCCTTTGAGTCACAGCTGGAGCTGAAGCAGCTGGGATGCAGAGCACCATGTCTGGAGGATTCATAGAGCTGTGGGTCCCTGGGCCTGGCCAAGGAAACTATTTTTCCCTCCTACATCTCCAGGTCTGTGATGGGAGGGACTGCCATGAAGGTCTCTTCAATATACTGAATTCTTTATTTTGAATATATCACTAGCAGTGACATGGCTGGATCATATAGTAGCTCTAGATTTTTGTGGAACCTCCAAACTGTTTCCTACAGTGGTTGTACTAACTTATATTTCCACCAACAGTATACCAGGGGTTCCTTTTCTCCATATTTTCACCAGCATTTGATATTCTTAACTTTTGGATAAAAGACATTTTAACTGGAATGAGATTATATCTCATTGCAGTTTTGATTTGCATTTTTCTGATGATCAGTGATGTTGAGGCACTTTTCATATACCTATTTTCATTTGTATGTCTTCTTTTGAGAAATGTCTATTCAGGTTTTTTTTCAATTTTTACTTAGATTATTAGATTTTTTTCCTATAGAGTTGTTTGAACTCCTTATATATTCCGGTTATTAATCCCTTATCTGATAGGTAGTTTGCAAATATTTTCTCCCATTCTGTGGGCTGTGTCTATATTTTGTCAATTGTTTCTTTTGCTGTGCAGAGAAGCCTTTTAACTTGATGTAATCGATTTGTTCAGGTTTGCTTTGCTTGCTTGTTCTTGTGGGGTATTACTACAGAAGCCTTCGTCCACTTCTATGTCCTGGAGAGTTTCCTCAATGTTTTGTAGTAGTAGTTCCATAGTTTAAAGACTTAAATTTAAGTCTTTAATCCAATTTAATTTGACTTTCATATACAGCAAAATATATGAATGTAGTTTCATTTTTTTCTATATAGATATTTAGTTTGCCCAGCACAATTTATCGAAGAGACTGTTCTCTCCCTAATGTATGTTCTTGGCACTTTTGTCAAAAATGAGTTCACTGTAAATTTATGGATTCATTTCTAGGTTCTCCATTCCGTTCCACTTATCTCTATGTCTGTTTTTATGCCAGTACCATGCCATTTTGGTTACCATACCTCTGTAGTATAATTTAAAGTCAGGTAATGTGATTCCTCCAGTCTTGTTTTTTTTTTATTAAGAATAGCTCTGGCTATGCTGGGTCTTTTGTGGTTTCCTGTAAAATTTAGAATTTTCTTTTTCTCTATTTCTGTGAAGAATCTCATTGGTAATTTGATTGGGATTGCATTACATTTGTAGATTCCTTTGGTTAGTACGGACATTTTAACTATATTGAGTCCTCTAATTCATGAACACAACCTATCTTTCCATTTCTTTGTCTTCTTCAATTGCTTGCATCAGTGTTTTATAGTTTTCATTGTAGATACCTTTCATTTCTTTGCTTAATTCTTAGGTATTTTATTTGTAGCTATTGTAAATGATATTTATTGATTCCTTTTTCAGATTGTTCACTGTTGGCATATAGAAATGTTACTGATTTTTGTATGTTGATTTTGTATCCTGCAACTTTACTGAATTCGTTCTTCAGTTCTAATAGATTTTTGAATGGAATCTTCAGATTTTTCCAAATATAAGATCATATTATCTGCAAACAAGGATAATTTGACTTCTTCCTTTCCAATTTGAGTGCCCTTTATTTCTTCCTCATGTCTGATTGCTCTAGCTAGCACTTCCAGTATTACGGTGAGTAATAGTGTTGAAAATGAGCATCCTTTTCATGCTTCTGATCTTAGAAGAGAGGCTTTCAGTTTTTCCTCATTCAGTATGAAACTAGTTATGGGTCTGTCACATACAGATTCTATTATGTTGACATATACCAAGTTTTTAATGGTATCTATCTAGAAGAAATGTTGAATTCTATTAAATGCCCTTTCAGCCTCAATTGCAATGATCATAAGGCTTTCAGTTTTTCCTCATTCAGCATATAACCAGCTATAATTCTGTCATATATGGCTTCTGTTATGTTGACATATGTTTCTTCTATAGCCAGGTTTTTTAGGTTATTTATCCAGAAGAAATGTTGAATTTTATCAAATGCTTTTTTCAGCCTCAATTGTAATGATCATATGATTTTGTCCTTCGTTCTGCTGATATGATGTATCACATTGATTGATTTGCTTATGTTGAACCATCTTTGCCTCCCTTGGATAAATCTCATTTGGTCATAATGAACTATCTTTTTAGTGTATTATTGAATTTGGTTTGCTAGTATCTTGTTGATAATGTGTTATATCAATATTTATCAGTGATAATGGCTTATAGTTTTCTCTTTCTGATATGACTTTGTCTGGTTTTGGTATCAGGGTATATACTGGCCTCATATAATGACTTTGGAAGTATTCACTTCTCTATTTTTCAGAATAGCTGAAGTAGAATTTGTGTTAGTTCTTCTTTATATGTTTGGTAGATTTCAGCAGTGAAGCTATTGGATCCTAGACTTTTCTTTGCCGGGAGACTTTTATTATAATGTCAATGCTGTTACCTATATTCTGTCTGTTCAGATTTTGGATTTCCTCATGGTTCAGCCTTGGTAGAATATATATGTCTAGGAATTTATTCATTTCTTCCATATTTTCCAGATGACTGGCAAATAATTGCTCACAGTAGCCACAAATGGTCCTTTGAGTTTCTGTGGTATCATTCATAATGTCCTGTTTTTCACCTCTGATTTTATTTATTTGGGCTCTCTCTCACTCTCTTTTCAGTTAGTCTGGCTAAAGGTTTGTCAATTTTACTTACTTTTCAAAAAAAAAAAAACTTGTTTCATTTATGTTTGTGTTGTTTTTGTCACTTAAACTTTATTTCTGCTCTGATCTTTCTTTATTTTTTTCCTCTGCTAAATTCAGGTTTGGTTTGCGCTTGCTCTTGCTTTACTAGTTCTTTAAGGTTCGTTGTTAGGTTTTTAATTTGATTTTTTTTCTTTTTTTGATGTAGGCACTTATAGCTATAAACTTCCCTTCTAGTACTGTTTTTACTGTATCCCATAGGTTTTGGTATGTTGTATTTTATATCAATTGTTTCAAGACATTTTTCATTTCCTTTTTAAATTCTTCATTCACTCATTTGTCATTCAGGAGCGTATTGTTTCATTTCCATGTGTTTGTATAGTTTGGAAAATTTCTCTGGTTGTTAATTGCTAGTTTTATTTCATTGTGATCAGGGAAGATGCATTATTTCAATTTTTTGATTGTTTTAATTCTTGTCTTAATACATAACTAACATATGATCTTTCCTTGAGAATGATCTATATGCTGAGGAAAAGAATGTGTATCCTGCAGCCATTTGAGGAAATGTTCTGTAAATATTTATTAGGTCCATTTGGTCTATAGTGCAGGTTAAGTCTGTTTTTACTCTATTGCTTTTCTGTCTGGAATATCTGTCCGATGCTGAAAGGGGGGTGTTGAAGTTTCCAGCTGTTACTGATTCGGGGTCTGTCTCCCTCTTTAAGTGTGATAATATTTGCTTTATATATCTTGGTGTTCTACTGTTGGGTGAAATATATTTACAATTGTTATATCCTCTCGCTGAATTGACCCCTTTATCATTGTATAGTGACCTTCTTTGTCTTTTCTTATAGTTTTTGTCTTGAAATCTATTTTGTCTAAGAACAGCGACTCCAGCTCACTTTTGGTTTCCACTGGCATGCAGTACTTTTTTCCATACCTTTATTTTCAGTCTATGTTTGTCTTTATAGGTGAAGTGTGTTTCTTGTAGACAGCAGATCAATGGACCTTGTTTGTTTATTCATTCAGCCACTTTACACCTTTTGATTGGCAATTTGGTACACTTACATGCAATTTATTATTGATAAGTAAGGGCATACTCCTACCATTTTGTTATTTTGTTTTTTGATTGTTTTGTGGTCTTCTCTTTCTTCTTTCCTTTCTCCTTTCTTTTAGTGAAGATAATTTTCTCTGGTGGTATAATTTAATTTCTTTTCAACTTTTGTGTATTTCTATGATTTTTGATTTGAAGTTACCATGAGGTTAACAAATACTATCTTAGAACCCGTTATTTAAATATGAGAACAACTTAACACTGTCTACATATACAAACAAACAAGAAAAAAAAAACCACTAATAAAACTCTATTTTAACTTTGTCACCCTATGTTTTAATGCTTTGTGTTTCTATGTATATCTTATTGTACTGTCCATGTCTTTAACAGTTGTTGTAGGTATTGCTTTTCATTTGTTAAAGATAGTCTACACATCAACTTACAATGTTATAATGTTCTGTGTTTTTCTGTGTATTTACTATTAGCAGTAAGTTTTGTACCTTCAGGTGAGTTCTTATTACTTATTAATGTTATTTTATTTCTCATTGAGGTACTCTCATTAGCATTTCTTGTAACAGGTCTGAGGCTGATGAAATAACTCAGTTTTCATTTGTTTGTTCTTTATTTCTCCTTCATGTTTGCACAGTATTTTCACTGACAACATTATTCTAAGATAAAAGTTGTTTTTTTTTTTTTTCCATCAGCACTTTAAATATTTCATGCCACTCTCTCCTGACCTATAAGGTTTCCACCGGAAAGTCTTCATGAGACATATTGGAGTTCCACTGTATGTTATTTATGCTTTTTCTCTTGCTGCTTTTAGGATTCTTTCTATATCCCTGACCTTTCAGGGTGTAATTATTAAATGCCTTGAGGTTGACTTCTGTGGGTTAATCTGCTTCATGTTCTATAACCTTCTTATACGCAGATATTGATATCTTTCTCTAGGTTTGGGAAGTTCTCTGTAATTATCCCTTTGAATAAACTTTTTCCCCTTATCTCTTTCGTTACCTCCTCTTTAAGGTCAATAACTCTTAAGTATGCCCTTTTGGTGCTATTGTTTAGACCCTATAGGAAAGTTTCACTGCTTTGTGTTCTTTTTTCTTTTGTGTCCTCTGACTGTGTACTTTCAGATAGTCTGTCTTCAGGCTCACTGATTCATTGTTCTGATTGAACAATTCTGTTATGAAAAGACTAATGCATTCTTCAGTATGTCAATTGCATGTTTTAACTCCAGAATTTCTGCCTGATTTTAAAAAGTTATTTCAATCTCCCGGTTAAACTTATATGAGAAGATTCTTAATTTCTTCTTTGTATTATCATGAATTTACTTGTGGTTCCTCAAAAGAGCTATTTGAATTTTCTGTTTGAAAGGTTCCATATCTCTCTTTCTCCAGGACTGGTCCCTGGTTCCTTATTTAGGTCATTTGATGAGGTCATGTTTTCCTGGATGGTCGTGATGCTTGTAGGTATTTGTGTCGGTGCATTGAAGGGTTAGGTGTTTGCTGCAGTCTTCACAGTCTGAACTTGTTTGCACTTATCTCTCTTGGTAAGGTTTTCCAGGTATTTGAAAAGACCTGGGTGTTGTAATCTAAGCCATATCTGCATTAGAGGGTACCCTAAGCTCAGTAATGCTGCAGTTCTTGCAGACTTATAGATGTGCTACTTTGTTGGTCTTGGGTAAGATCTGGAAGAATTATCTGAATTACCAGGAAAAGACTCTTTTTTTTTTTCCTCATACTTTCTCTCAAGCAAGTGGAGTCTCTCTCTCTCTCTCTTTCTCTCTCTCTCTCTCTCTCTCTCTCTCTCTGCCACCTGGAGCTGAGAGTAGGGTGACACAAGCACCCCTGTGGCCACCACCACTGGAACTCTGCTAGGTTAGACCTGAAGGAAGCACAGTACTGAGTTTTTGCCTAAGGCCTGCTGTAACCAATACCTGGATACTAACTATATTTGTTCAATGTCCTCTGTTTCTACAATCAGCAGGTGGTGAGGCCAGCATGTGTGCCCTCCCCTTGAGGGTGATAAGTTCCCCCAGGCCCCAGGTAGGTCCAGATATGACATCAGGGAGCCACGGACTGGAGTCAAAAATACTACAAGTCTTTCTGGTATTCTGTTGTACTGCAGCCAAGCTGTCACTCAAACCATGAAATGTAGTCCTTTTCATTCTTCTTTCCCCTTTTTACAGGCAGAGAAATTTCACCCCATGCCACCATCATCACAGGCCCACAGAGAGCACTGCCAGGCTAGTGTCAATGTTCCCCTAAGGCCCAAGAGCTCTTTAGTCAGCTTGTGGTGAATGCTGCCTGACCTGGGACTCACCCTTCAGGTCTGTGAGCTCTCCTGTGGCCCACGGCAGGTTCAGAAATGTCTTCCAAAAGAAAAGACCTGGAATTGGGGACCCCAAGAGCCTGCTTAATGCTCTACTGCACTGTGGCCGACCTCATACCTGAAGCCAGCCAGTCTCAGAGTTTCACCCAAGGCCCACAGTATACTACCTTTATCACTGCTGGTTATTCAGGCCCCAAAGGCTCTTTAGTCAGCAGGTGATGGATCCTGCCAGGACTGGGCTCTTCCCTATAAGGCAGTGGGTTCCTTTATGGCCCAGAGTGTGTCTCAAAATATTATCTAGGATAGGGGTCCTTGCAACTCTGACTGTTGCCCTATTCTGCTGTGACTGAGCTGGTATCCACGATACAAGATAAAGTAAGAGTAGGTACATTGTAATTATCTATTTACATGTAATTTAATTTCATTTCTTGTTTGGTTAAAGTCAGATCACATAGCTAATAAACACATGAATGTTTAAATGACTGCTTAAACACTTGAGAAATAATTAGAAAGTTTTCTAATGTCAAATGAAATATTGTTATATATTGACTCCACTATGTTAGAATTCAGAGCTAGTAGTGATTATGAATTTCCAGACCCCCATGTTTAACCCTTTTTAAATTGCTATTAGTGTATTTTAAAATGTTTTTTAAAAATATAACAACATTGAGATTTTTATTCTTTCTAGTAAACTCTTAATTATTAAAGAGAAGGAGACTCATATAAATGTTCATGGAAATAATGTGAACTCAGTAAATATCTGGATAAAAGAATCCAAACAAATGAATTATAATGGTAAAACCTGCTGTTCCTCGCAGACTGATGTGTGAACAGAATCGTGACACACACACACACACACACACACACACACACACACACAAAATCCTTCCTCAAAGGGACAGAGTTGACAAATGAAAGATTCTCCTCGCATGACCTTAAAATAATCTAATATTTCTCCATTATTACACAAAGGAATTACTGCAGTTTTATTTTTGATCTCTACTGAATAAGGGCTCACCTTTTGATGGTTGCCATTTTATGCTTTTTGTGCGTAATAACTGCCTTGACATTTATGGTGCTCCAATGTGTCTTTCTTAATGTGAAGGAATCATCTGTGCATTAATGAACTGGCTTGATGTATCTGCCAAACCTTTCAAAGAAGCAATTAAATACCTGTACGAACTTGTGTGAATGGCATGATTTATTGTAATCTAAGAAGAAGAAGTATAAACAAAAAGTAATTAGTTTTTAAGGTGGCAATCAAGTAGTACAACATAAGAACTACGTCTATTGAACTCCATCTACATAGAGCATAATAACAACATGCTATTTTTTTAAATGTCTCATCAAATCTCAAATAGTACTTTTGGGAACATGTTCAACTTATTACTGTTCCAAAAATTTTAAATTACAACTATGGGGTATCATTCTCATCTATAAAACTAGAAAACTTAAATTAGACACAGAAGGAACATGAATATTCAAGGTTAGGAAAGAAATGTTGAAATGAATACTGCTCGACATCATTAAAGGCAGAATGAGCAGTAATCTAGCTGTTCTTTTTTATACCTTTCAATATGTATTAGAAGCCTAAAAATGTCATATACTATAGTTCATAAACTACCCTTTGTAAACAGCCATAAATATAGGATTAATCCCTCAGGATCACTATGGCATTCATTTTTTTTTTTTATATCTACCATCAAAGTAAATACCCAAAATATCCAAGAATAAAGGAATAATACATTGAATTATGTTAATGCACCAGAGAAATTGTATTCAGCACTTTAGGTGATATTTAATTACACCAAATGCATTTTTTATGTAGCACATATTGAGTACATTTGTGAAGGGAACCATCCTAATCGATTTACATTTAGTTCTTATAAGGCTTATTTCTTGTGCGATCTAATATTTTTCTCAATTTACTGACGAAGATCATTTTGATTAAAGTAACTTGCTTAGGGTCACACTGCTCATGTGTAATGAAGCAAAGAGCAGAAATATGTCTAATTAGAAAAATCCATGCTCTTAACCCTTGAAGCATACTGACTATTCAGTGATGTTGTAATTTTATTGAGCCAAAAAATACTCAAATACACTTTCTGTGTATACATTAAATGTTTAAACTGGATTGTTACAAACTAATAATGTCTCTCTCTCTCTCTCTCTCTCTCTCTCTCCACCCCCTCCCCCATCTTTCACTTTCTCTCTCTTTGGCTTTTCTCCATTATCATTCTTGATATATTCAGCATACATCCTTAATATATAGGTATAGTTGACTAGGTTGAGTTGTTATTTGCACACATTATTTCTCTTCAAGGTTCACAAAAGACTTGTTTTTCTCAGTCGGCCTGATTGACTTAGTCTTCAATAACCTATATTATACTGAGTTTAAAAGTGTGGAGGTTTCTTAATAAAAAAATTGCATTTTTGTGTGGTTGTCTCCATGCATTGAAGACCTGTCTGACATACCACATTTTGGGGGGAGTCTGGAACATAAAGAGTATCTTTGAATGGGACTTGTGAGAAGCAATCATACAAGTCTGTAATGACATATGATCAAATTAAAAAATAAGAAGAGAAATGCTATTATCCACAATATATTTTTTTGTGTTATAAACACGGGATATGTTTTTTATATAAATTCAGAGGATTGTTTTTTTCTTAAAGGTCCATTCTCTTCTCTTTTCCTTATGGTACCTTTTATTTAATCTTTGTAGGTCACTCTAAGTGTCAGCCTACTAGGAATGCCTTCCTTGATTCCTTAGACATGGCATTTTATTGCTCATTTTGTACTCTCTTTTGTGACAGTTAATATAGTTGGAATTGATGTTTTTTAATAAGTGTTTGTTTAGTGTTTCTTTTCCCAGTTAGACTGCGAGTGTCATGAAGACTGAACAGAAAATATGTTTGTCATCATCTGTTATGTATCATAAGGACATTATTAAATGAATAAGTGAGTGTCTTTCATATATATACATATATATATATTTTGTTGTGGTGGTGGTTTGTTTGTTTTTGTTTTTGTTTCTTTTTTGAGATGGAATCTCGCTCTGTCACCCAGGCTGGAGTGCAGTGGCACAATCTCAGCTCACTGCAACCTCCACCTCCCGGGTTCAAGCAATTCTCCTGCCTCAGCCTCTCAAGTAGCTAGGACTACAGGCACACACCATGATTCCTGGTTAATTTTTGTATTTTTAGTAGAGATAGGGTTTTGCCATGTTGGTCTGGCTGGTCTCAAACTCCTGACCTCAAGTTATCCACCCGCCTCGACCTCCCAAAGTTCTGGGATTAGAGGTGTGAGTCACGGTGCTCAGCCCTCATACATGATAATAAAAATAGAGAAATTAATTCTTTTCTGATTAAGAAATCACATATATATATGATATATCTGTATATCATATACAATACATATAAATCTTAGAAATCTGTAGAGATTATATAATGTGCTCATAGAATTGCAGTGATCTTATGAATTCTAAGTAAAAGGATGTCTAGAAGTGGGGTATATGGGGTTTTTGAGCTGGTCCTGTAAGAGGTAGAAGAGGATATATTTTCAGGATAATTTGTCTATGGCACACTATTCTCCATAAAGCATACGACTTTGATCTTATTATGTACTCTTGAATTTTATTGCATCTTTTTAACCATTCCTGCTGAACATAGTGTGGACTAAAGGTATGAATATTTAACTCTAAATATATATAATGTGGGAAAGGAGCTTCAAGATTGTTGACTAGATACATCTGGTACTTGCTCTTCCACAAAGAGAACCAAAATAGTGAGTAGATAACTACACACTTAAAATAGATCACCTAAGAGAGGACACTGGAATTCATCAAAGTGACAGGGAACACCTAAGTCAAGGAAAGATAGGAAAGCAAAGCGACTGCTTGGCTGGGATTGGTTGGGGGCTTGGAGAGACTCCAAGTAGGGGGAAAGGGAGATTCTCGGTGTTCTCTATTTTCACCATGCTATCCTATCCATGGGAGAGCCCTTTGACCCAGTTGGGCCCTGAAATCAACACGGGGAGCTGCCTGGAGAAAATGTAATAGGATCACTCTGGAGAGGGGGCCCATAGGGTGTCCCACAAACCCTCAAATCCTAAGCAGCTGCCACTTTAAGGGTCAGAGCTCGAGTGAAGTGTACCCCCCAGATGACTGCCTACAGTTGTTCCCACTGAAAGCAACTCTGTCTTCCCCAACAGAAGGGCTACAGGCACAGCTGCTGCCTCTGTCAAGCATTCTGCTGGTGGCCTCGAGATTGCCCTGCACCTGCCTAACACAGAAAGTTTCTGTATCTGCTATCAGGGGACCTGAGGGCAGGTCTTCTTGGCCTAATTTCACTCCCCCCGCTACCTGGGCACACTGTCCAGAGCCTGGAGATTGCCCAGTCCAGTCCACCACATTGGCACCTGAGAACATCTCTCAGCTGCCTGAGCTTGGACCCACTCAACAGGCCTCTGCCAACATACCTGATACCCATCTACACTTGCCACACTTGAACCTGGAAACTGGCTCACCCCACCCATTACAACCACCACCAACACCATTGTGAACCACTTGGGGCCTTTAGGGTTGTTCCAACATTGCTACTGTCATCACACATGCCACACCTATTACCCAGGGGCATGAGAACTTTCCCATCTGTCCAGCCCACTGCTACCATTTTCTGCATCTGACAAAGCTGCTGGGAGGTTCAAGAATTGGCCTGCCTGCACCTGCTAACACCAGTGTCAGTGTACACCACCCTGGGTGCCAAGGACAGTTATACTTGATCCATCACTGCCATCAAAGGGGTCCAACTGTTATCCCAGTCACTACAGCCTCCAGTAGCAACTGCATCTTAAGCCACTGAGGAAATCAGTCACCACTGATTCTGTTATTGCCAAAAAAATCAAATGGAAGACATGCTATTGTATACAACCACAATCAAAGCCAACATGAACTACATCCAGATACAGGAAGCCCAGAAGTTCTGAAGTAGATACAATTCAAAAAGGTCTTTTCTATAGCATATTATAATCAAAATGACAAAATCAAAGACAAAGAGAGAAGTCTAAACAAAGCATGAGAAAAGCACCATAGTCATTTGTAAACAAACTCGCATCAGACTAGCATAGTTTTCTCAGCAGAAACCTCACAGATCAGGAGAGAATTTCAACCTCACAAAGTGCTGAAAGAAAAATAAAAACTTCCAGTCAAGGATATAATACTCATAAAGTTATCATTCATAGATGAAGGATGACGTTCTACTCATTCTTTCTCAGAAAAACAAAAGTTGAGAGAATTTATCACCATCAGATCAGCCCTCCAATAAATGGTTAAGGGAGTCCCACACCCAAAAGTGAAAGAATGATATTTACCATCATGAAAAACATTAAAATATAAAACCCACTGGTAAAGCAAACAAGGAGTGAAAAATATTTAAATTATACTGTTACAGAAAACTAACAAACCACAACGGTAAGAAGAGATAAAGGAACAAATGATATACAAAACAAACAAATCAATTAATAAAATGACAGGAATAAGCTCACTTACATCAATAATAACTTTGAATGTAAACAAATAAAGCTTTCCTCTTAAAAGATACAGACTCGTTAAATGAACTTAAAAAAATAATTCCGCTAGGTGCTGCCTAAAAAAAAAGTCAGTATGACATGTAAACACACATATAGGCGAGAAGTTTAAACAGATTAATTTACCACTGATACCACAGAAATCCACAAAATTCATCAGAGACTACTATGAAAAACTGTATACTAAGAAAGAAACTGGAAGACCAAGAGGAAATGAATAAATTTCTAGATACATATGACTTATCCATATTGAATCAAGAAGAAATAGAAAACTTGAACAGACCAATAGCAAGGAATGAGATTGGATCAGTAATAAAAAGGCTCAGGACAAGATAGCATTATAGCTGAATTTTATTGAACTTTCAGAGAAGTAACACCAATTCTTATCCAGCTATTTCACAGAATTGAAGAGTATTCCATGGTGTGTATGTGTCACATTTTCTTTAATCATTCTATCATTGATGGGCATTTGGGTTGGTTCCAAGTCTTTGCTATTGTAAATAGTGCTGCAATAAACATACATATGCATGTTTCTTTATAGTAGAATGATTTATAATTTTTCGAGTATATACCCAGTAATGGGTTTGCTTGGTCAAATTGTACCATGTCCTTTGCAGGAACATGGAT